AAGTCGTCTAAGTGTTTTTCCCCCCCCCCCCCCCATGTTTTCGCAATGGCGTGTGTTGAGGGGTCCCGCCTCTTGGGGAAGAGAAAGGGCTCAACCGTGTCAGCGCGTGAATTTGATGAAGCATGGGCGAAACCACGAGCGCAGACTCGCTTACGATTACGGTGCAGGCAGTCGATGAAGGGTTTACGAAAGTACAACTTGAAGTGATGCTGAAGCAGTCGCCTGTATTGTTGAGTGTTGTGGCTTACAATCAGTGCTCAGCTACAATGACAACTGTTCCGGTCTACATGTGTACATGAAAGGTATAGTTTTGTACAGATGCTTCCCCCGCCTCCAGGCGCACCTCTGAGTGTGGTTTTTCAGACGACGCCTACACACGGGCTGATAGTGACACAGGGCGTTTGGTCCTGAATCTCAAGTTCTCACCACCCACTAGGTATATAGCAGTTCTAGTGGTAGGCTTGCTTTATTAATCACCATAACTATACGGCTTTGCTTTGCCGGGGTCTGTGCCTACCCGGGCCCCTTCCTGGAGGATGCTACATGGCTCTGATGGGATCAAGTCAAACGAACCTGCTACTGTGTCCTGTTGTTGTTCCCTTGTGCAGCATGACGGTCGTCCCAATCAGCCTGTGCAGCTCTCTTCACCGAAGCCCGTGTGGAGAGTGTGTGACTGACTGAAGGGTTCGGGGGCTGCAGTGCTTGCCTTCTCCGTTGCACAAAAAACACATCGGGAGTGGCCTGGATTTGGTCAATGATCCGTGTGTAAGCCTTGGCAGCACAACCAGGAAGGGGCGTCGTAATCACGTGATGCATCTTGATGCGACCCCAGATAGGGCAATTGTGGCAGAACAAAACTGGGGCCACATGCTGTCTGGTGATTCCCTTCCTGAGGCTGCAGCGCAAAGTCTTTCCACAGTCTCGCACTTTTTCTGAGGCGACGGCTCTATCTGGACTCACCTCGTCCTGTCATTCGAAGCCAGAAGTCACTAGCCTCAATCTCTCCTGGCGTTGGCAAGGGTCCTCAGAGTTCTCCTCACCGGAGGCGAAAATCCTTCGACTTGGAGATCTACACCAAGCTGTTCAGGTCCCAGCCGCAATCCAGCACAGGTCAATGCAAGAGGCTAGATGCGTCCTGACGATTCTGTCGAAGGACGACTTGTGCGTGTAGTGGAAAAGCAACTTCCTGGCACACTCGCTGAACAGTCTGACAGAAAACAACATGCGTCGAGCCCAGTTTCGCCCCTGCAGCTGCCATGCCTTGCCCGTGCAGTTGCACAGAATCGGGCCACTCTAAGTGCTTTTTGCTTTGGCGCGTCTAGCACCTGTTGGCATCAGACGAAGACTCCGTCTTCGACGCCAAGCCTGAGATCATACATGCCCGGTCTCGTGTCAATGTCTGAGATTGTTCGCAACCGAGGCACGCCTCGCGACTGCCAGAGAATGGGTGCGACTCTGCACAAATGCCGCTACATCCGCAGACTTCATGTAGCAGGCATGGCTCGGAAGTGCCTGCACCCTCAGTTGCAACAGCTCGACGAATCCGCATGCATGATGGAAACTTCTAAAGGTACGAAGGCACGCTACTGAGTTCGCAACTATTGTGGCAACGTCTTGAATTACGCGATGCTCTTGCATGCTGGGTTTCCCGGGCTAGTTTACTGTTTGAAATATTTGTGTCTTCTAGTGGCCAGAATTTTCTTGTGCACTCTTTTCTTTCGCCAGGGCTACAGGCAAGGGTTGCCTCTCTCTCTCTCTCTCTGCCGGAGGTTTCCCCCCAGGGCTCGGCTACTAGTAGTAGTAGTAGTAGTAGTAGTAGTAGTAGTAGTAGTGCGTGAGTGTGTGTGTGTGTGTGAGTGCGAATTTCGAATACGAATCCAGTACCAGTACCAGTACCAGTACGATTACTGCTACTGCGACTTCGAGTCGTGGTCGTGGTCGTGGTCGTCGTGGTCGTGGTCGTGGTCGTGGTCGTGGTCGTGGTCGTGGTGGTGGTGGTGGTGGTGGTGGTTGGTGATGCTGGTGCTGTGATGATGATGGCGATGATTCTGATGCCGATGCTGACTGGGCATTCCGGTTAGAATTATGGTGATGAAGCAGATGACTTTCTCAACGTAAGGTTCTCCTCTCATGCTGTCAGCATTGATGTATCGCTTCCATCTCAATGCCCTGTCTGCAAAAGTTGAATCAAGCGACAGCTCACCGGCAACACCAGCAACGGTCATGATGCTGAGATCCTCTTGCAAGGACCAGTCAATGCGGTCTCCGGCGTTGAGCTGGACAGACTGACAGAGGTCGCTGAATTCGGCCTGCTTTTTGTCCTGGCGGACGGCAACTTCACGCATGACAAGAGCATGCGTGGGCCCTCCCTTCAAAACCCGCTTGCACGGTTCCTCGCCCGTGGCCCAGTTCATCATCTTCTGCACACCGTAGTGCACCTTCATGCCACCAATGCCACCCTCCACTGCAACTTTGGCAGGTTCCAGTTTTTCGAGGTCCTCCTTGATGAGGGGCTCGATGCGGTAAGCAACAGGATCGAGGGGGTGAAAGATGTTAAAAAAGCGGGTGCCCCCAGGAAGAGCGAAACTCTCTTCGGGAGCTGAGTCTGCAACGTGCAAGAACAGGCCAGTCGGGCTTCCCATGGTGAATAAGGCTCCAGGCGCGAAGCTCAATTTAGGAGTCTGGCTGCGTAGAAGCTCGAACAGGATCGCGCCTCCAAGGGAATGTCCCGCCAGGACGATGCTACCGGAATGATGAGGATGGTGTTTCAGAAATCGTGCCAGAGCTGCTTCAACAGAGCGTGCAACTGCGGCCACAATGGCTTCTTTCCGTCCAACCTGCATGTAGTACAATGCATCGACCACCGCAAAGTTCGCGATTTGTCGCACCTGTTTCAGCAAAAGCTTTCTTCACTTTGCCGCTATCGCCTGCATGCAGTCTACGCGCTAAATGCCCCCGAAGATTCCAAGAGCACACACCAAACTTCAAACACTTTGTGGGGGACCTGAGTCCCAATCCAAAATGTGCACGGAACTGTGGTGGTAGGTAGCACGGGTCTTACAAACGGAAAGACGACTCGCAGCCAAAATATGCACTGTGCTGTGGCGGGAGCACGATATCGGGAGACAGACACCGCCATATGCACCACAGAAATATGCACGGCTTTTTTCGGTTCGCGAATTTTAGTTGAACCTCTTTTCGAGACCACAACACGAAGCCCCGAAAGAGTAGAATGGGACTTTGGCGACTTCGAGCGCTTTGAAAACCGACATGAGCGCGGGACTGTGGCGGTTTCGACAGGGTGATTACGATTCATGAAGCTGGACAGTGCGGGTTTTGCAATGAATTCGAACCACCGTCAGATGCGGCGGATCCTCGTTACTCTTTCATGTGACGACCCCTTAGTGATCCGACACTGTTTGGGGAACCATGCACCAAATCAAAGCCCAACAGGGCATGCAAGGAAAGGCATCTGGAAAGACAACTCCCTTGCAACTCAGAGCCGCACCTGCTTCATGGACGGCAAGCTGATCCGCGCAAGGCGTTTGTCCATCTCGTCTGTGTGTATCGTCTCCCACCAAGATGCCTCCAGAACCTCATCCTTTTGCAAGCTCGGCGGCGGTACTTCCCCTGGATACCTGATGCATCGAAAACCGCACTCGCAAGCCTAGCATTGCCAAAAGTTTGCGTTGAGCTGCTCCCAGCCGGAGCCCTTCTGCACAAAGCCAGCAGATAGCAGCTGCTTGACCTGGGACTGCAATCGAAACGGAACAGATCGCAGCGCTGGGCGCCTACGACTCGAGTTTCTGCCTCAAGTTCCCAGTTGCATGTGTGTGTTGGCGGAACTGCACGGAAGAAAACGCCAGCCCACAGCCTGCAGAGTACAAGTCTGCTGGTTTCTGGACAGCCAGAAGGACTAGCAGTGACTAGCATTAACAAAACCGCACACAGATCCTGCATGCAAGGAACCTTCCTCACTCCACATCTTCTCGCCTACGCCATGCACCAAGATGATCAAATTCCCGACTTTGTCTCCCAGAGCCTTCTCCTCCTCCTCTCCTGGCTGTAGATCGACAGGGCCGAAGCCACGCTGCAGCTGGTAGGTCTTGCCGAGCATACCCTGTGCATACTCCATCCAGGAGCTTCCTCCCTGCGACCTTTCCTTGGCTGAAAGCTTCCAGGACTTGGACTTCTGCTCGTACTTCAGCTTCAAGGTTACCTGCCTTCCCGAGTCCAACACCACGCTTTCTGCAACTTCCAAGTCTTCCTTTGGTAGCGCCTCTTTAGCACCAAGCCACACGCGCTCGTGAGCTGCTTCAATGGTTTTGGACGTCTCTTCGTCGTAGGGGATCAAAGTGGCAGCTTGCTGGAACCAGAGGGCTCGACGCACCTTGCCCGGCTTGCGCGGAGGATCGCTGCCATATCTGTCAGTCACCAGTCGTTCTTTCAGGTCAACCTGCCACCGCCCGCCCTCGACATTCACAAAGCTACTTGACGATGCTTCTGCCTTCTCAAGCGGTTGCTGGTCGCTCCGCCGGAACGGAATCCAGTTTGAATCCCCATCTTGCCAGAACCATGTGAAAAGTTCAACCGAAGATGCGTTGGCAGGCCCATCCGCAACAGCGTGAGAACTCGGGGAAGCGGAGGTATCGGTCATCCATGTCAGGTGCGATGCAACATGAGGCTGGTGGGTATCAGTTACATGGACTCCACATGCGAAGCTCTGCACGTGGCACTCAGAAAAACGAGACACTGCACGAGGTAATTAGAACTTGCGTGGGAGCTGCTGAATGTCGCAGGAGGCAGCTTACAAAGGTGCAAAATTTAGTGCCAGTCTACAGCTCTGCTTCAGAACAGCTGTGCGCCTGCCCCCCCCCCCCCACAACTACATGCCAGGTCGTCGTCTTGATGCCTTCGTCGTTGTCAGCAATCTGCAAAGGAACCGGGTAGACCTGCACAGCTACATGAACGGATTCGCCAAGTGCTTCTGTGCAGTGCCAGTTTGGCTTCATGGCCGCTGAGATGCGGCGCTCAAGTCCAACAAGGCCTGCGTCTGCGGCCCGGGGGCGTACACAAGCAGGCTCTCCTTCATACCGTTCTGGGATGGCATATGCAACTGACAACGTGTTTGATTCCCGCTGTGGGCATGTCGAATGCAGTCCTTATTGCAGCCCGTGTATGCAGTTGGCAAGACCTGGATTACATTCAGGATCTTGCAGGCTGGCGGTGCTGTCAGCTGCGCAACACAACCCTGCTTTCTCGTGAATCCAGATCGTGTCTGGTCCAAACGCAGGATTCCACGGCTGCCGACTCAGCACAATATGAGTCTACTGCACAGAAAACCACAATCGTGTCAGCTCGGCTGCGAATCCCTCCAGCCACTCGTCTTCGTCGTCTTCGACATGACGTAAGCCTTTTTCCATCCATGCCTCTTGATGGGTTCAAAGTGGAAATGCATGCGAAACCGTCCAACACAGCAGTGTCAAATCGCTTGAAGCTCAGGTCAACCTTACTGTTGCTGAGCAACTTGAGGCAGAATCATACACCCCGATTGCCAGCATCATCCGGTGTTGGCGTGTCAAGTGGCTCTGAAACCGGGCGCTGTTTCGGATGTGGTGTTTCAATGTGTTTCAAGATTCCCACCGTGCATTCACCGTTGTTTTGCGCTTGCCATTTGGGATGTTGGTGAACACAGCTCGAAACTCCGGTTGGTCGCTGGATGGCTGTTGCCGAGCAGTTTGAGCGAGCATCACGGGCATCAGAGCTTTGTTTTTCAGGATCTGGGTCAGCATCATGAGCATCAGAAGCCGCTGCCCGCGAGGGCAACGATGCGAACTTCCAGATCTTTGCCGGATCGGTCGACTGGCTCTGGAGCTCCCCCGTCAGAGCACGGCACTTTCCAGACCGCGCGGCCAGTGCTGCAAGACCCTACTTCAAATCTATTTTTCTATATTTATGTACACGCAGCTAGACGGAGACAGGGACAGAGACATAGAGGAAAAAACACGCGATGAATGAATATGGGTTTGATGGTGCATCCGTGGCACTCTGACAGATTGATTCTGATCCAACCCGTCAAGCAGCTTGAAAAGTCCCTGCACCAGGGCCTCCAAAGAACTCGCAGGGTGAATCGCCTCCCATCGGAGCCATTTTGCCAAATTATCCGCATATATCCGCATTGTGTGCACTCGAGGGCCTTGAAAAGCAGGTCGCGTTGCGGATGATCCTGACATGTCTACCCACGCAGGCACACGGCTATTGATTTGCGCAATTTCTGTATCATGGAAGCCGCTGGTTGATGGCAGCGCCTTGTTTGCCATGAGCGAAGCCATCTTTGGCGGCTTCTGGCTAAGATTCTCAATATCTGTGCCTGCATCCTGGCGAGCATACTGACTCAAACTGAGTGTGAAATCTACGGCATCTCATGTGCACGCAAGGCACAGCAATGCAAGCTATCACCCCACTGCGACGTGGTGTTATAGGATAGGAGTGTGCGATGCAGGGTGACAAACTTGACTGAATGTGGTGGATGACGGGGACCCCACGTGCGCCAGTCTGGCATCCTTCTCCATAGTGCGGCTGTCCTGCATCCAGCAATCAAATCCGAAAAAGTATCTTAAAACATGCGAATGAAGGTTGCCGGATGTTGTGGGCAGCGTAGTCGGTATGCATATTCGAATTCAGCTCCAAATCAGCCTGGATGCCAGGTGCAGGCACAGCGACAAGGGACGAGCTGTTCTTGAGAGATTCCAGGCAGATAGATGCCAGTATGAACTTCAGCACAAAAAGCACTGAGTCCAGCGACCTCAGCAAGATACGTGCACCCGTACGCTGAAGTAGTAGGCAATCGTGATGTCACTTACAAGCAAAGGTGTGCAACTTTTTGCCAGCCAGTCAACAGTAGATCCTCTACACAGGAGGGTGCCTGAGGCAGAAGGGAACAGCACCCCGCTGACTGCAATAAGCTCGATGAAGAGTTGCTTTAGTCACGCCATGGAGTCTGTAACTCAATCGCCCTGCACATGTTGGCTTTCGCAAGTGCTGCTCCCTTTGTCAACAGCAGTAGTGAAGATCTGCATCAAAGTCTTGTGGGTCCGACCTTTGCCTGCACACGTTACTCTTCCTAAGAATGCTCGGTCAAGTATTCACACAACCTCAACAAATCGCATCGGGCAGTTCAAAAAAGCCGATAGAATCGCTTCTTCTGCTCTTTCACCACTTCACTCGTGGAAAAAGATGTATGGACCTGGCAGGCTGAGCACGGGCATGTTGTTCGGCACCTATTCCAGCTTTCATTTGCCTTCGCTGACTCCCGTCTAATCTTGGCAGCGTCTTCTGGAAGGAAAAAGAGTCTTCTGATGACGCATCGGACCCCGTCACCCGTCACAAGCAAACCTCAACTTCGCGCCTGCGAAGTCCTGCATGATGCCGGCGACGGTGGTCCAGCCCACGACATACAAGATCCACCCGGGCATGCCCTTGTATCCCCTCAGAGAGTGGCGCTTCGCAGATATGGAACATGAGCAGCCCACTAGCGGAACAAGCGCACGACAAGTAAGTGTCTGCCACATGCCGGTGACTGCTGCAGCGGCTTCAAGAACCGGAAAAACATGTGACGAGACTGTCTTCCCTGGGGTCAACGATTGCCCACGCCCTTCCCACCAACACCGCCTTTATGTTCTGCCATCACAGCTCCCTACAGCGAAAGAGTACCCAGCAGTCGAACTTCAGTGTCCCAAGTTCCTAAATCCCGGGGTGTGGCCCTGCTATTAAACGGCCGAAGTGACCACAAGACCGCGGCGGGAGCACAAGATTTCCAAGCAAAACAACCCAAAATTTGAGAACCCCAAAGTAGTGGATTTTGGATGTTACCTGGTACTGAATACGGTGTCTCGCCCGCGAAACTGTGGAAAGAACGCGGCGTTGGTCGAAACTGTGCACTGCGCACCCGCTTCCAGCGCGCTGCAACCCAACCCCTTCACCCTTACGTTACGCAAAAAATCCCACGGTGTTGCTCCGCTGCTGCTTGGGGAAACAAAAGTCGCGAAGTTTAGTCTGCCCTTTCAGCACATGACCGCCAAGCCCTGACCCAGAGCAGCTGGCGGGACTGCGTACCATGGACGGCGTCCAACACGAGGAGCAGATGCCTCACCAAACACCAGAAATCACCAGAACAGGCAAGGAGGTGAGCTAACTCTGCAGCTCCGATACGGCAGGTCCGCCGAGGGCCAGCTGTTGCGTGGATGGCGGAACCATCTGAGGAAGTGCCGTCTTCAATGCAAGCCTTCGAGACTCTGCGGTCTGAGGCTTGGTCGGAGGTCGAGGAGTTCTGGCGCATGGACGCCCTCAGACAGCTCTGCACCTCCGGACCTCACGGGACGCTTGGAGCAAGGGAGCCTCAGACTCAAGGTCCTACGTCTGGAGGCACGGCTCGTGAAGCGGGTGGCCCGGGCGGGCTGCATTGCCTGCACCCATGCTTTTTCCTTTTCTGTGCTTCTCTGCCTACGTGTCGCTCTCCCAGCCTTGGGCAAGATTCGTGAAGCCATCAACCTCTGGAACACCATTGCCGAGGCTTCTCCTTTGCGGGTCAACTGCGAAGATCCCTCCACTGCTCCTCGACGGTCCTGTCCTGATGATACGCCAGCGCGCACGGTGCAGAAGGGGCTCGGCTGGCTTGAGTCTGCGACTTCTTGCGAGTGCACCGCTGGCATGCAATTCTCTCCCCGTGCAATTTGTGCCAAGAGGTAGCGAGCCCATGCCACACAACTAGAAAGAGTGCTTTGTGCGTCACCGCAAAGTCATGCCGCAACGAGAGCAGCAGCAGCAGAGAGGAACAGCACGGAGCTGACGGCATGACTGTCGATTCCATCTTGATCTTGGATATGTGGAATGCGACATCATACCATCGTTGTGTACAACAGCCAGAGTGTGTCCTATTTACAGTCCCCACTCGAAGGCCTGCGACCAGCGAGTTGAATCCATAAGCCGGGGCTGGTGGCAGCAGCCTCAAACTGGAGATTCTGCCCTGGCTTAAACGAGTTTTTGGAGGCCTGCAACTTTGCGGGCGGCTCAGAACGGGTCCTGCAGCACCGCAATGCTACGGCTTGTCAGTCTCCCCATCGCACTGGCAGTTGATCGCTCAATTACCGGAAACCGTGTGTGCAGCATGGGTTCGGGCTTCTAGTAGAGATCAACTCTTGCCTGTGCTGCCGGAAACTCAGCCCCAGAGTTTCGGCTGCCATTCTTTTCGGCGGGTCTTTCAACGACGGCAGGGATGTACTTTAACGAGCCAAGTAAGGTGTTGCACTTTCAATGACATTTAAAACTGACACAAAGTGTGTGGGCTCGATTAAAAAACAGACTGGGCAGGATGTCCACACGCACCCCAAGCGCTGCACATGGTGGCACGGCTGCTTGGCACAGGGGCTGCCCGATATGTACAATTTGCGCGCTCTTTGGGCTCAGTCCGCGTGAAGGGTCAGCTCCTTAGGCTTGCAGTGGACACAGAATGAATGGAGGAATGCAACATAAGACAGACCATCTGCTTTTGAGGCCAGCTGCGGTGCGCTTGCGACGAGGTCAGATGACTCGCAGCTGCCTCCCTCCGTTGTCCACAAGCAGCGTGACCCCAGTGATCCGGCCGCTGAAATGAGCTGACAATGCAATCTACTAGCTGATGCCCGAGCTGTCTGTCACTGGCTGCTACAGTTCGAAACTTCGAAGAGTCAAACAAACCCACATTCTGCGTTATAGTCGACATGCGTTCAGCGACCGGGTCACCTCTTGACGGCTCTGCGCTGTGGGAAGCTGCCTGGCATCTGGTGGGTACAAAGTCAGTCGGTCGGAAAGGCTATCAGCTGATGCAAGCAAGTTGCTCTTGAGCTTCAAAGTCAGCTGCATGTGCACTTTCTGGAGTTCTTCGTCTCCCCCCTGCATCGCAGAAAAGCCACGCGCGATTCCCCTAGGTCCTACCAAAGCGAACAGGAAATTCGTTGATTTCTGGGGAGCGCTTGCCAGCTGCTGTGCCCACTTGCTGAGCCAGACGCCTAGCTTAGTAGAACGACAGAATGACACGTAAGTGTTGCCGGAATTGCCATTTGCTCAGCAAGTGGTCCCCCTCTGTTCCGTGCAACAGTACTCGGACTCCTTGTGAACAACACCCTCCAGCACTGTTCAGTGGAGGAACACGATGCCAGGCAGCTTCTGCGACTTTTGGTAAAATCGAGCTGAAATGGGCGCTGCTTGCATAGCATGCTGGAGATATATAAACGTGCTAAACGTGCCTCTCGGTATGCATCTTCCACACTGCTTGGCAAAATGCGGGCCCGAGACAAGTTGCGATTGCTTGTCAGAGCTGTGCAATGGCTAGAAATCATGGCTGCAAGAGAATCGAACACTGCACTGAGATATACTGAGATGTTCTCGAAAATAAGCAGAGAAAGTTGTGGTAGCAACAGCTCCTGTGCGGCAAACACTGTCAGCAAGTCTCCAGAAACGCGTGCAACAGCGCCACGACTCTCGACTCAGAAAGCAAAAGTTCGAAACCAAAGATGCTCCAACTTAGCAGGGTCTGCACTGACTACATCATGTACGGACGGTGATATTGTGAACGGTGACAAGCTGGTACCATCTGGTACCGGATCCAGCAGCAATGTCATTCGCACTGCTCCATGCAAATCTCGCAGCTCCAGTCTGCGAAGATCAAGATTCCCAAAAAAGCAGGTGACAGCAGAGGAAGATGGACCACATCCCCAGGCAGCCTCAACTGCGGACTCTTCAACTACACAGGGGTGACAGGTTGTCGCTAACAAATGCTTCAAGATTTGCACAAATTGGCCGCAACCGAAGATACTCATGGTAATCTTAGGCTCGGTGGCTCCAGACTTTACCGACTTTTTTTTTACCCTACAAGACACCGAAGAAGACAGGATGATCCACCGCGCAGCATATGTCAATACGCAGTTGGGAAGCATCGCCAAGGGGCGGTCTAGTTGACGTCTGGGCTTTGCCATGCAACCTCGCAGTTGCCAAGGATTGAATGCAACAAACAGGGGGGAAAGAAACTGCGACAAGCGACGGTGACCACGTCTTCCTTCGTATACAGGGTCACTGCAGGCACCTGAGTGCGGCCCGGCATGACGCCATTGTCTGCCATGTACTTCAGACATCGAAAGAAAGCATCGTGCCCAAGCGGTTCGAATCTTCTTCTCCTGTCCACCAGGTGTGAGCAACAAATGTGCCAAGAACTCACTCTGAATCCGACATCGGCGGTTGGCAGTCTCAAAGCGGCCTGGCTGCTCCACCGAGGGCCCCACCTCAAGCACATGCAAGGCTGCCGGGCTCCTATCTCACATGCATTCACAATGACACCAAACCTGGTCTCTGCCCTTTGACAAACAGTCCATGGAAAATCTTGACTTATTCCAGCGGTCTCAGATTGAACACCAGCAAGTACTAATCGGACATGCACGCAGCACACAACACACAGCTGTCGGCCCAAAACCTTCACGAACAGAGTGCCCGAGCCTTTGGAGAGTGCCCAGACAAAGATGCGTCAACAAGATGAATTAGGCGTGCAGATCGACAGCGGCGGGACCACCATGGCTGATCAAGCTGCGAGCCTCTAATCCAAAGTCCATGATATGCACCAATGAAAGCAGATAGTATATAACGCATGCACGCAGAACGCACCCACGAGCACACACGTGCACGAGCACAGGCACATGCACGCACGGACACGCGGGCACACACACACACACATGAACTTGTGATGGCTTCGTCGATGGACCGCTGCGGGAGTATCCC